ACACACACACACACTCTCTCTCTCTCTCTCTCTCTCTCTCTTAAATCAAATGGAAGTAAATTTAAAATAAATCTTGGAGATACTGTGTGTCGGCCCATATTACTTCATTATTTTAATATACCTGGGCCCATATTAAGTCATTAAAGCAATTTCCAGTCTTTTGTTAATAATAGCAATAGCTGATATTTATGGATTGCTTATTATGTTCCAGGCACTGTTCTAAGTACTCTACAAGTATTAATCTTTTTAACAAAAACATCCTAGGTAGAAGCTATTATTATCATCCCCATTTTATATTTGAAGAAAACAATGTCCAGAGAACTTCAGTGCTTGACTTACAGACACACAATAAGTGGCAGAGATAAGATCCATATACATCTCTTTCCACATAGTTATATACATTTGTCAGACTATCTGGCAAATGATGGCTCTTAAAGTAGCAGTTTAAGCAAATTGCACTTTTGAAAGATCGGTATGATAGCAGGGTGGAGAATAGACCTATCTTAGAGCACCTATCCCACTGTGCTGTGCTTTTTAATTTTCTTCCCTGTCTCCCTTGTTAGATTCCTCACTTCTTGAAGGCGGAGGCAACAGGGCCAGCATATTGCCAACTCTTAAAAACATTTATGGATGATTACTAAAAAACAGGAAAGCCTTTAATGGGAGTGGTATTTGGTGTTTTAAAGGGTGGATAAAATTTTGATAGAAGGAAATTGGAAGAAAATTACCTCGTGTGAAGAAAAAGCAAAGGAAAGACTACATAGGCTATTTGGGGGAACAGCAAATTGTCTAGGTTGGTTGGGGAAAGGGTGCATGGTGTGATGTGCTCACAGAGGATACTAGACAGGGAATCTGGAGGCAGAACATGGGGAATTCTAATGCTATTCTGAGTTTGTGAGATCTCTTCCAGGCCACATCCATTAACCTGGAGAGCAAAACCAATGAGCAGCTATGGAACATGCCCACATATACCCACAATATTGATGTCAAATAGTTAAATTTATTGAATCTCATTTTACAAAATTGTATGTATCTCCACATCAGGTTTCTTTCTTTCTTTCTTTTTCTTTTTTTTGCTTTTCGATGTCAAATGGATGGCAGGTTTTTCAGTATCAGCAGCCCGAGAAATATAATATTAGTGTAGTGGGCGTATTTTCAGTTTTCATTTATTTTAATCTTCACCAATTCCCTGAATTCACTGTCTGACATATTTATTTTTCTAAGCTCTGGGCCTGTGGACCCAGGTTTATGAATGTAGCTTATAGATGTACTACTGAAATTCATTTATATACAAACATATCTCTCAGTGGATTTTGTTACATTTCTGTTAATCTCGAATTTTGTGAAGTTACTTAGACATCTGACAACACACATTATTTTAAATAAATGCTAACATTTTTCAACACATGACTGTAGATCCTGGCTGAGGTATGTAATCAAATTCAAATTAGAAATTAGTTCCAATAGCCACTCTTAAATAGATCAGCACTGCTCAATAGAAATACAATGTAAGCCACAAAACTGAACCATAAATATAATTTAAAATTTTCTGGTAGCCACATTTGAAAAAGTAAAAAGGAACACCAAATTAATTTAAATATTATATTTCATTTAATCCACTATATCTAAAATATTATTTCATGTAATAAATATAAAAGTTATGAGATAGTCTACATACTTTTTTTCATAGTAAGTCCAGACTATATTTTTTATACTTGACGTACATCTCACTTTGGACTAGTCATATTTCAGGTGCAGAAGTCACAAAGGCTATAGACTACTACACTGGGTAATGAAAAAATAGAAGCAAAGGTTTCAGCGCCTTTGAGTACCACTATTAGCTCAAAGAATGGCTAGAATGGTTTATTTCCTCCCTGCTCCCATCCAAGCAACAATAATGTAAAGTTTCTCTCTCACTTGTGATTTTTTAGGGGGATCTTGTCCCAAACTTTGGTACTGTGGTCAAGGAAAGTGAGACCCATAGAAGTGCGGGTGGAGTGAGGGTGGGAGAGAACTAGAGGGCCGACTTGCTTGGCCCTGCATGCACCGCCTCATTCAGTCTCCCTGCTGACAGGTGGAGATGGAGGCTCAGTTCCCTGCCAAGCCAAGCACCTGCTGACACAACGCTGGAAGGGGACTGAGAGCATTAGCTTCCTGCTCAGCCCTACTGACACCCCCATGCCAGCATGGAAGGGGTGGGGGAAATCTGCCACTCGGGGGTAGATGTTGTCCAACACCAGAACAGGACATCAAAACACTGCCATCTGCTTCCACAGGGCAAGGTATAGTGGGGTGAAAGACCAGCTCCCTCCGAGAGAGAAGGCGGGCAGGAAGAGCAGAGATGTTGCTGTTGGAGTAGGGTGTGTATTGCCAAAAAGGTTTTCCGTTATTAAACCCCCCATTTCTTGGGCTTTTAGCTGGGGCGAATGTGCTTTTCCCGCATTTTTTTTTTTTTTTTAAATCCATGCCTGTTGGCAGGTCTAACCTGGAGGCTTCTGCGTTATCCTGTGTAGGATGTATGGGAGACAATAAGGAAACTCAGAGAAATCACCACGATGTCATTTCTCACATCCCGTGGTTCCAAGCATTCCACTTACTTCCACCATTAAATATTTTCTTTTGCTTGTTTGCTGTGTTATGTCCAGGGTTATTTTCATATTAAGAAGGAGTACTTGGGAGGTATGGGGCTACTCTGTCTAGGCTGGAACCAAGAATCTACTAAGTGCTAAATCTAAGTACCACTTTCTAATCCTCATCCTATTCTATTTGTTACAATTTTTTTTTTGCTATGATAAATGCTTTTCCTTGAAACTAATTTCTCCCTCGGCATTTATTACTGCACATTACGAGCTACCTCCTATCTTTTGGTCACTTCTAAATGTCCTTCACAGTTTCCTCTGGGTCAGTAGCTTTCTAAGTGCTTGTGTTCCCCAGGATTCTGTCTTAAGTCCTTTTAACTTGCCTCCTCTTTTCTCTCTCCACAGCTAGCTATATGCTGAAAATGCACAAACGGTTGTCTCTAAATCCTCATCCCAATCTAGTTCCCATCGGAAACTTCCAGCCGGCTATCCTGGCAACTATGTTACCCAAAATGTAACTTATTATCCTCATGCGCATGTGCAAATAGATGTTCCCTCCAAATTGGCTTTTATTTCTGAACTTCTGAACTTGGTTATGATTATATAAACCCTATAACCTACCAGGAAACACACTCAAAAATGTGGTATTCATGTTTGGCTTCTTTCTTTCTTCCAAACTCCAGCACATCATCAAGCTCTTGCCGTTCTCCCTACTAAATAGTTCTCAGTACCTCCCTTTGTCTCCGTTCCCTCTGGCAATGCCTAGAGTATTTACTCAAAATCACTCTTCCAATTGTTTTTAAATTTGTCTACCTGCCTCTTTTCATTACCTATTACAGAGGCTCTAGCATGATCTCTTTTTAATGCAAATATGATCAAATCTGTTTAAATCCTTTAGTAATTACCTTTAAAGGATGGATTCTAAACTTCAACTTTTCAAGCACTTCTTCCACAGTTTGCTCCATTTCTGGAAACACACTGTGATCTCTCAGACCCCACATTTTGTCCAGATCTTTGCTCGCATTGCTTGGTCTGCTTGAAATGTCTTCTTCTGTCACCCACACCCACTCCACATAAACCAACTCCTACTAGGCATGAAAGGTTCCAGCCACGTGATCTCTTCCGGGAAATGTTCTCCTTTGCCCTGTGTAAAGTGTTGCTCTTCCCCGTTTCTAAACCCCTGTCTGCGTGTTGTAATTGTTGATTTGCTTCTTTGCCTCCCATCTGGATTCTAGAGAGGCTCTGAGGAAGCTTTTTTCTCACATCTGTATAATACAAATAGAGAACAGAAAAGTCAGCTATTTGTCCTTTGACTAGTTGTTTTAGAGTGGAAGTATACTATTGCGGTTAAAAGTATTGACTCTGGAGCAGAAAACCTGGTTTCAAAGATCCCTTGCTCATCTAGAAGGAGTGACAAAAGCAATACATTTTTTGAGGAGAATTCTCCTGGAAAATAGTCAAGATAGAGTACTTTTCTTTTAGAAATAAAATTTCTCCATTAGGAACTTTAACTAAAACCTATTTTTTAATAGATTACATAAAAAGCAATATGGTAAGAGCACTTAGGTATTTTCTAGTGGTCGAGAAGAATCGCTTTGAAAATGAATAGGAAAAATCTTAATTGACTATTTAAAAGAAACCACTGAATGGATTTTCTAAGCTCAAAACTTTGATCATACTATTATAAAATAGATGTTTATGCTTTTGTCTCAACAGTGTGCTTGTTCCCTGAAAATCAAGCTATATGAAACCGTTTTTAAAAACATATAAATTGCTCGTTATTTGTTCAATATTTTACGGGGAAAAAATTACCACATTGAGTTTTCCCTTCCTCCTCCAATTGAAAAAAACACTCGAAAGCAAAGATGTGTGTAGATATATATATAGTCCCTCACTCAAAAATTTATGTTCAAATATATAAAATTAATCTTTTTTAAAACTCAACTTGTTTCTCAAATTTCAAATCCCTCCCGTTTCTCCCCTTACCTTTCATCCCCCTATATCCATATCCAGTATATCTTTTGTACTTCTTGAGGAAAGACTTTTAAGGAACCAAAGGCTGAGGTTTGTTTTCCACCCGTACCTCCAAGATGGCAAAAAAGTGAGCTTCCTCTTCAAAGACCCCTGGAGTGTTTCTAGACATCGGTCCAGGAAAGATTATGCATACAAACCAGCTCTGCTTTGCCGTGACCCCTTTAACCACCCCTACATTGGCTCATTTCAAGAGGGCAGGGGCATCCATGTGTGAAATTCTTATTAAAAACCTTCCCCAGATGTGGTGGAAATTTTAATGTCATGGGTAATTTTTTTTGTTGTCCAGTGGGGGAAAAAATACTACAGCCGATTGCATGCAGGAAAAGCTTTATTAAGTCATGGAACTGTTATACTTTTTAAAATTGCTAAGCGGAATACCCCAACATTTTTAAATGACTTAGGAAACTGGCACATCTTTAGTAAGCAGGTTCCACTTTCATCATTTTCTCTGCCCCACCTTCAATGCTCAGTTGTAGAATATTCATTTATTTATCTTATTAAGTATATTTATCTCACAGTCATCTGTCAAAGCTTTTGTTGCAAAAACACATCTTAACAATTACGTACACAATGGAAAGATCTGATTAGGTGTTTACAGGACTTGAAATATTTAAAAATACACGACAACAGGATTACAAGAAGGGTTGTGGCATCTTTCAATTCATTTTACTATTTCTTTCTCTTTTGCAAACATTAATCTCTGACGTCAGTCAAGTCTTATTCCTTAAACGCACCGTGCTCCTTTCCTCCCCTCTTCCTCCAATATCAATGTTGTAACAATCAGAATTCTCTTGCCTGGGAAAAAGAAAAAAATTTAACTACGAGGGACATTTATTGACGTCTAGCTGTTACAACCCAAACCACAGCACAAAAGTCAGTCATGTACAGGTGACACATTACACTGACATTGGTCCACGTTTTCTGTACACTGTCGGAGAAGGTCGGGGCTCCTAAAACTCAGGGCTCACATGACGATGCACTTGCCGAGCAGCTTCTCGGCCACCTTGGGCATCTGGGATTTCTTCTGGTTAGGCTGGAGGCAGGTGGTGGGCTTCTTCGCGTGGAGTGAAACAGCTCCTGCACATTGACATCCTTCTTGGCAGAGGTCTCCAGGAAGGCGCAATTCCACTCCATCGCGTAGGCAGCGCCATCCCTCGCCGTCAGCTCTCGGCGGCGACTGTCATCGCATTTGTTGCCGACCAGCACGATAGGATACTTACGCAGGTTTCTACCTTTGATCTCGCGGATCAGCTCATAGAAGGGCTTCAGCTCCTCCAGGGTTTGCTTCTTGGTGACCGAGTAGACCAGGATGAAGGCATGGCCCCTGGCAATGGCGAGGCGCTGCAAACCCGGGTAGCGATGACCGCCAGCCGTGTCGGTAATATGCAGCGTGCCGGTGCCGCGATTGCCGCTGCGGACCTGGTGGTAGGTGTCTTCCATGGTTGGTACATACTTGTCGCGAAAGTTGCCGCGCACCCATCTCTTCACCAGTGCACTCTTGCCAACGCCTGTGGAGCCCAGGATCACCACGCAGTAATCTTTGTTTCTTCTCTGCGGAACGAAGGCGCGGATGATCAGCAGAGTGGGCAGAGGCCGCAGCCGCTGCATCAGCTTTTCCTTGAAGCCAAAGCAGGAATTGCCCATTGTCGGAAATTGGTGCGGAGATGCTCGCACAACTTCTGTGGCACCGAGCCAGAAGCAGGCGAAGCCTAGGGAGGAAGAAAGGGAGAGTGAGAGATTGGACTTCTAACCTGGAATGTTGTCACAGCATCTGCCTGGACAGCTTCTCCAGGGCATGCTGGGGAGGGTCTCAGCTCACTCCCCAAACCCCACATCCTCCCTCCTCGGAGGCAGAGCCTGGCTCACTGCCCACCTCAGGCACCCACAAAAGGCAGTGCAGGTGCGGAGATTCGCTCACCACCTCCTCCAAGGACGCCTTACTCAGTGGCTACACACCCGTTATTTGCACAACACACTACTAGCTGCAAAATGAGAAACTGTAAAAACGGACGGCTTGCCAACCCTTAAAACGCACACATCCGAGAGATGTTACCAAACCTTCCCTCCCCGAAAAAGCCCTCGTTGCACTATTTCCTTGGGTATTAAAAATCTGTCAGCGTCTCTGATACTGATCCATTACGGCAGTCAAGGGTTGGTTGCCGCGAACACCGCGATCCAGGGTGTGGTCACGGGGTTGGTAAGGGGCGCCCAAAGAGCCCACAGGGGCCAGATGCTCGGTTCGTTCTGTCAACAGACCCATTGCCTGCAGCAACTATCCCCGTGTCATCCAGGGATGTGTACCCACCCGCTTGGCGGACAATGTGTCTACGAGTTCTCATCCACAACAACCCAGGCTGGTTAGCCAGCTACACCTCGCATTCTAGTTCCCCCCAAAAGACAGAAAATTGCTTTTGGCTTTTACCTCTCTGCTAGAAGAGAACCGAGTGCGCTAGCGGGCAAATCTGCTCCTCGCCCAGGCGGTGTTGGCGGCGGCAGTAGACGCGGCACCAGTCGCGTACCTGGAGCGGCAAGCGGAGCGCAGCCAGGTATGACCAGCACGCTTGGAGGCTCCGAGAGAAATGCTCCAACTGTTGGACTCCGACTGGAGCACTGGAACCAGGGGGCGCAGACTGGGAGACTCCACTTGCACAGTACGCAGAGGGGAGGACTGGCCGTGCAAGGCTGGCCGAGCCCAGATGTGCTCCCACCCCTCCCCCCACGATCTTCCCGGCGTCCCCCACACCTGAGAGTACTAGTACCCACAGCCCAATGCAGGGCAGAGCGGGGGCGGGGTGAGTGGGTTCCTGGCTTTACAGGCACTGGCCCCTGTGGGGTTAGCACTACTGAGCTTCTGTTATAAGAACAGGCTTCAGAACCTACCTCTGGTTGGGATTTCCTGTAGTTTAGGCAGGCTCTATGTAAGAGGATTGAGGAGCATCCTCTAAACCCTGTGGCATTAGCATCTATCACATTTATCACCACTCCTTGTACATTGGGTCTCATTTGATCATCACAAAAAC